CTCTCCTCCTCTCCTCTCTCTCTCTCTCTCTCTCTCTCTCTCTCCCCCCCCCCCCCCTTTTCTAAACTCTCTCCCCTCTGATTGTCGTGAATCGGAATCGTCGGTTTGCGGTAACGGCAACACGCGCGCGCGCCCGCTCGACAATGAAATCGAACCCGTAACCGTAAACGGACTAATTGCAGGGATAATAATTATTCCCGGAACTGGCCTAGGGCCGAGGGAGACTGGCGGGGGGTGAATGAGTTAGATTGTCGTCCGCATGTTTCCAGGGTTATCATTGACGCGATCTCCCGGACATTGTTTAGTCAATCATCCTGATATCATATCCTTTTGATTACGGCAAAATCAAAAGCGAGCCATTTCAGCCTCTTTTTTTTCCCTTTGACGAGATTTCAAGTTATATTTGTAATTGGAATTTAATTAATTCGGGATTGAATTAATCCGCAGTTTGCCGTTTTTCTTCATTTTACGCATGATTTGTAATCTCTACAAATTAAAAATATTTATAAAACATAATAATAGAGAAAACAATAGCAGCGATAATTAATAATATATATATAAAAGGAGGCAACAATAAAATGATAAGATAGTAAAGCAAAGAAAAGGAAAACATTATTCTTTTAAATAGTCGGGCTTAATATAAAGCTATTTAATGATTTTTGTAATAAGATTAATATACGTATGAATATAAAAACGCGCGGCGCGCGTGTCTCATTTCTGACAAAATATATCTTATCTTTTCGTGGATAGTAGTCAAATCAATATTGTTGATGAGATAAGAATAGATATTGATTTTCGTGTTTCTCTGTGATTTTCAGGGCTGTCACGGATCCACGGGATGGCAGGAGAGTAGCCTTAAAAAAACTGCCGAACGTCTTTCAAAGTCTCGTGAGCAGCAAGCGAGTCTTCAGGGAGTTGAAAATGCTTTGCTTCTTCAAACACGATAACGTGAGTAATATCACTTATTGCATGAGTATCAAGTATCAAGCATGATCGATAATCAGTATCGAATATAACAACATAAGATAGAAAAATATCAGTAGAAACAAGAATAGAAATAAAAAATTACGATTCTTCTATATTGTGAAAGAAATTTAATCGGTATTGGATTTTTAGATGTAGCTTCTAAAAATTTTATATAACAATCTGAGTTATTAAATACCATAATAATTCGTACTTTTAAAACATTATATCATTTTTATGATAAAAATACAACTGGAGTCTTAGCTTTATTAAGTCTTTTAGCTTTCAAAAACTTTATAGTATCTATCTAATTATTTGTGTATACATATATGTTGCTACAGTTTTGTTATAAAATTATGTATATATCATCATTACTCATATATCGTATTTATAAAGTTATCAAATTATTGCTTTTATAAAGATAAAGCAGAAAAATAGAGTTTCCGCTTGACAATATTTTGTTATAAGTAAACTACATTTCATGTGTGTAGCATCGAATATTTGAACGAACGCCCGATAGATCCTATAAAAGTCACGCAGTGGGGACGATACCGGAAATTTCCACGTTTTATTTCCCCGAGGACGAGACCACGATGTCTCCCTGCTCACAGCTTTCGCCTGCTAGATCCCGCTTTCTTGCACAAAGAAGCGGGATCGATCGCGCTGTCTCTTTCTTTCTTTCCCTCTCTCACTTAGTCAAAGAACGAGATACTCAATCTCTTCTTCTCTTTTCTTTTTGTAGGTCCTTTCCGCGCTGGACATCCTTCAGCCGCCGCATCTGGACTTCTTCCAAGAAATGTATCCTTTTTTAAACACACGTACTCGAGGACACGTGGAAGATAAATCTCGGTACAAGGATTCTGTGCAGGTGAATTCTCTTGTCGGCGATTGAGGTATTTTTTACGATTTTAGAGAATTTTTTCGCAATTTTTGATTCTTCCAATTATTAACGGAAAATTAACGCGAAATTTATTTCGCTTTGAAACGAATTTAATCCGACTTGATTTAATCCAAAGTATTTAAATGGCATTTCGAAGTTTACGATATACAAGCTGCAGAGGTGCTTCTGTGATCTTTTTGGATTCTGGTGACAGAGTTTTCTCACGCAATGCTTTATTTCTCAAACGAGCGTGTCGAACGACGTGGAAACTTTTAATCGTCGGATAATTAACACTCGTGCAGGTCATGATCGTGATTCGCTTCGTATCTTCTTTCCAATAGAACGATTCTTCGGAAAGAGGAAACTCTTCTCTTGCTATCCTTTATAATTGTCGTCTGACAAATTTTACATTTTTCCGTCTGCCTTAGAGTCCTAATTTTCTTTCTGGATTTCTTATTTCATATCCTTAATAAGATTTCAGAAAAAATTAATACAAAATTAAGATTACTTTTTATAAAAATGTATTTTTTTATAAAAAATAGTGTATATAACGGGATGATTTTGTCGTCCTTCGTCCTTCGTATAAGCAACAGATATTACGAGGTAATTTTCCGGTCGAAGACGAAACAGGAAATTGTGTGGTGGCCAGGACGAAGCTCCTGCGGGATTACTCATCTTCTCGCGAACGCCACTCAACACGACCGTATGATCGTGCGATCGATAGATTCTTAAAAGAGCGGATCGATCAGAAAGTTAATCTCGGGGCAATAAGAACGATAAATCCCTCTTTCGTTCCTTTTCTTTTTTCTCAACCCCTGTTTACGCTCTGTCGCATCTGGGACTTTGTCGGACCCCCTCTAACTACGTAAATCATCATTAGTAATGACGCGGCTATTATACCCTCCCCTCGGGTTTTTGCCTCGGCACATTCAGATCCAGATCGAGATTATCGCGCTTTGTACAAGGGATTCGGAACACAGATGCATTTCGCGCACGTGACGATATTTATTTGCAAGAATTAAAATCGTTCTGCCGCAGAGCGAAGTGTTTCTTATGAATAAATAAACGCATAAACAAAATTAATAAATAAATACAAATTGATCAGTCGACTAATGGGTGCAGAAGCGCGGATAATTACACATATAGGCAGATAAATCTCTAAATAAACAAGTGGATAACCAAAAGAGTAAACGATATCATAAATCTATCAATGAATAAGCAAACAAACGAAGAACTTAATAAACAAAATCTGACGGATGCGCGAACCGATGAATTTTCGCGTAACGAGAACGACATTAATCGCGCCGACAAATAAATAATCGGGGCGCAAATTGCGCGGCCACGGCAAATCCATGGATGGACCACCGGTGACTTCACACTCCCTCCCCCCGGGCGGCTGTTCCCACGATTTAATTCCGCGACCCCCGGCATCGGCTCGATCGATTCTAATTTCGTCCGCATGAAAAATTCAGCGCGGCGCCCCGACGCCAAAGTTCGGAACGCATCGAATGCGGCCGCCTAATTTCTAATTAAGGAGTGGCTCTCGATTAGCTTGCGCAGCACAGAAATCGCCGACCACAGTGCAGATAGAACCGCGGGAATGAAAGGGGTTGCCGATGACAGGGTTGTTAACCAACACGGCTGACAGCTAATATTGCATTTGCAATTCCATTACCGTTTATTATGTATCATCAATATTTAATATATTATTTTATATTTCGTGTTATTTCATATTTTTTCATATTCTTATTCCTATTTCAATTATACTTTTTACGAAATAAAATACTCCGAATCAACATCATCACACGGAAATGAATAACGAACACGCACGACGATAATCGCGAGCGAGGCGTGCTGTTTGAAATTGTTTATCGAAGATGATAAACGGTTCCGAGAGAGATCGGCAGTTTTTAATTGTCACGTGGGCGATAGTTTCCGTTCCGCTTGATCAAACCAGGTGGAGACGGTTCCCATTCGAGATGAGCGTCATGAATACGCGCGCACGGGATGAGTTTGCTCGATGGTAATCACGTGGATTATTAATGCGCACGTTGCTGCGCGCCATTGATACGTCGATAGTGCACCATTAGCAGCGGTTGCGACCGCCGCCGCCGCCGCCGCCGCCGATTGCACATCGTCTATGCATACTTGCTTCGTCTATTGCCATTTACAATGTCGCGTGTAACTGGTGACCGTAACTTCCTTGTGACGTTGCGGATATGATCGGACAATGTCCCACCGACCACGATTATCATTTTAATTCGCGCATTCATTCTTAGTTTCTGTATAGTCAACGCAACTATTCTCTTTCGATTGCACTGCGGTATTAACGCGCCATTTATTTGTGTTGTTACACAAATTATAGTATTAATTTACGTTTAACATATCACAATAATACAATATCACATAACACAATAGTAATACAATATATTAATTAATATCGATGATACGCGTATTAATTATCGTAATATATAAATATATAAAACATTATTTAATATTAAAAATGCATTATTGTTAGTATATTATTATTAACAAAATATATCTATTTTTCTATGTATTCGCGATATATTTCTATGGTGACATCATAATTTTTCCGACGCATGAAACAAAGTCGCTTCAAATTTCGCCGAATTTTCTGATTAATACGATAAATTTTCCGAGGAAAAAAACCGCGTGCGCGACGGTGAAATCTTGCTCGCCCAGGCGATTACGGTCGATTTGATTTATGGGAAAGGCGCATAGGCGGTTGCATCCGTTTATCGATGCGGCGGATGAACGAGGTGGGTTCGATTACGACGCTTACAACGCGCGTTTTCGCCACGCGTGGAGGAGACACGTAATACATGAAAGGAAAGAAAGCCCATATGACGGCTCTCCATCGTCGACGTCCGCCCGTATCGCATCGGGAAAAATGATACGGCGGGCAAAAATTTCAATTCCCTCTGGACTCATTATTGCACGTATGCGCACGAGCGCACGTGTGTAACAAGCGTACTGGTTATCGTAACGACAATTAGATCGCCGGATATCGCGAAGATCAAACGGAATGAGACTCGATCCCCTCGATATTCGAAAATTAAAATAATTGGTTATTAAATAAATAATCATATAATATAATAAATATAAATTGTAAATAAATAAGAATCAATAATTGAAATAGTGAAAAACAGTCGCGATTGACGGCACTGCCCGACTTTTCCTTTCCATCTTTTTTTACTTTCTTGGATTCGCGGAGAAACGGACAGTGAGTTTTTTCATGAGCTCGAATCACAAATGCTTTAATTGCACACGGGGCTGGCTACATCGGGTTCGAGTTTGACGGTTTGATCTAAGTTCTCGACGGCCGAAAACTAATTTCGCTCCTGCTCGCGAAAACCCTTTGTCTTCCTCCCGAGTCAACAAGTCTTTACGTTGAGCGATCGGCTCTTTTAGAATACTCGAGGAAATTCCTGTCATATATTCCTGGAACCTCGACATTCATTCGAATATTAAGGCCAGTCTCAATAATCAATATATATTTTCAATATCGCATTTTTCCACTTTTATATTAATTCGAGATTCTAACGTTATTTTTTCCTTTTTTTTTGTAGATCTTGTTACAATATTCAATTTCTAGAATATAATTAATTTACATTCTATTTTATTTTTAATGGCGATCTTTATTGTTTTATTTCTCTCTATTTTTAACTTAACGACTCCTTTCTCCCTCCCTTGGGAAATAAATCAAGTTTTTTATGTCCGAACGAGGATCGTAAATGTTAAAACGCAAAATATACCATTTTCTGAATAAAAAAGAAAATTTACAATTTTTGATGTACAAATCAATATAAAAATATATAAACAGATTGATAATTTTTATTTTTTATAATTATTAGATTATTATATTCAATATTTAAAAAAGTTATTTCAAATTTTAATGTTTTAAATATAATGAATAGTGTCAAAAAAGTTAAGCATTTTGCTTTAGGCGAGGTCTTTTGTACCAATGATATTCTCACGTCGTGATTTAAATACAATCGATTGATAAACCTTCGCTATTTCTCTGGACGAGGCTATAACGAATCAACGTGTTTTTCAGCGATTAATATTGCTGTACCATTACATACAACCGCCCACTCTTTTTAATCCATTAAAGGCACGCCACTTGCGCGTGCTGATCATTGTTATGTTAATATTCCGATATTTTTCACGGTATCCGACGTGCACGATCGATGTAACGTTCGCAGGAAACGATTGCGATTGCCTGATTTTAACCGGAAATGAATATCCTCACGTAGCTCTTTGTCAGTATTTTGCAAGAGAGTATTGCTCTGTTTCGGTAAACTTGCGAATATTTAATTAAAAATATTTATATTTCCATATATTTCCATCCAAGCGATGGAAAATGAGATTATTAAAAATACTTCGCGGAGATATTATTTGCAATATAATTATTATAACTTTATTATAACTAATTAACTAAATGTTTTACATCGCATATAAGTATGTGTGTACGGAGCTTTAAACAGTGTTGTAATACATTTTCGATAAATTTTCCAGAGTTCTGGTTTTTAAGTGTCTATGCATCATCACCATGCGATGTTTCGAGTTTCCAACGGCAATACATGCGGTTGCATCACGTTGCACATTGCCGCTACAACCTCCCACGTTTTACTCGGTAGAGCGCACGGCGGGAAATCACCGAGGAAAATCGGAGGCGAGCGATCGCGGGTGAGAACTCGAAAACCGCCTCTCGTCGACCTGGATAGGTTCCGGTGCGGAAAAAGAGTTTCCGGCGAGAACAAGGCGCGTTCGAACGAGGCTCTGTGTCCGCTCTGCTCGTATCTCGCATTGTCTCCTTATGGTAATCGCGAAATCCACACTCGTTCGTTGCCGGAAGTGTCTACCTTATTTACGAAATTGCTACAATTGGCCAATT